GTTCCTCTGGCATCTACAAAAAATACCTAATATTTTCCTTGTCATTAAATACCCTAATGGATAACTATCACAGCCGAAGGTATGCTCCTTGCAAGTAACAACTGGATGACAATTACTTACGTGAAGCAGTAGACTAGCAACTAAAAAACTAAGTCCCTGGCAATATCCGACTTCTTCGTCATATACTGCGTATGCTTTACTTATTCTGTACAAAGAATCTTGTCCTAAACCGCCTGTTTCTTTGAAAAAGTCATGGGCAGGAAATGTTCTATTAATGTCTCTTAAAATAACACTTTCGCAACTGCTTTCCTATAGACGCGTCATGACACAATTATCATATTATAGTATATTTATTATATCGTATATTGTATCAACTTACCTTAGTAATTAAAGTTCTATATTTATCCATCATTTCTTGTGAATTATCGCAATTACTTAAACGTTGCCATACTTCGCCACGTAGAGCTTCCGGAATGCCTTCTTTCGCAAGTTTTATAAGAAGCTTTGGACGTTGATCGTTAACTTGCCAACTATCCAGAACTTCTGCCCAATTGGCTAGTTCATCCGCGGAACAATCCTTTGACACTTCACCTGTACCACTTAACATTGGTTCATCTCCATCTACATTATATTCCAAAGTTATGATTAGGGCATTTATCATTTTTTCCATGAATATAAATAGAAGCAATTAAACATTTTTTTGAACCTGAATCTATTTCTTCTTTGGGTGTAAGAGTGTCGATGCTAGTTAAAGAAGGTGACCGAATCAGTGATGCTAAATTCAAAGCAAGATTTAATCTGTTTCTGTCTAATTCTCCTGACGTTTCTATACTTTGTACTTCATAGTGAACTTCTACCCCGTCTCCAGATATTATCTAGAGAGTAATAAATAAGATACATAGAATATATTCCATACAAATTAGCGAAAACCTATTTACTTTCTGCGTAGTCTTACTTCTTTTGAATTAAGATAGAATTGTTGAACAAGGCTTCGTTTATTAAAGTACCAGAATCTTTCATTCTGCGGATACACTTTAACCGACGTCTCAATTATAAACCTCACAGGTTCCCGAATACCATGTATAACTAAATCAACGGCAACTGTTATAAAGATCTTTCCTTCCCTAGGAGTTTCTACGTTAAGAGTTTCCAAAGCTGGATCTGCAGGGTCCCAATGCCCACACATAACGTAGCATTGTTTGTCTTGTACTAACGGACCAGTATTAATTTGCTGAAAACATTACTTTCAATTATTTTGATGGTAGAGACTACATTATAGCAATATAATGTAAATATTTTTGTTATTACCATTTCAAGTAATCTCATATCGCTATGTTTAACATTGCGACCGGGACTAACGAGAACACCAAAACACCTTTCAACTTCGAGTGTAATTCCTCCTTCTTTACTGGATACTTGTTGAATACTTAAACACACTTGCTTAGCTACATTACTTCGAAGTTTGAAGCAGTTTCTGTCTTTAGGAACTGTGGCGAAGCTCCCCTTTCCATCTTCTTCCTTTATTTCCATTGTTACTTCAAAAATAAATACACGAGAATTCGTTTTTTCGCTTCCAATGTTAAAACCATTGAAATCACTGCTTGTTAAAGAACTAGTCATCGACCGTGGTATTCTGTGAAATGCCTTGGAAAAACAAGCAGAGACTTGTCCCACCTAAAACGGGTTAAAAGTTTTACAATTCGATTACAATTTAAAAAGCCATTGTGTAAGGTAATATGACAAACATACTGCTTCTGGTATGTCACATCGAAAAACATGACACTGATAAATGGCAGACTCCAATGTGTCCCCATGAGACCATGTGAAAGCAAAACAAGCTGCGCACGCTCCAGTACTTTCGCCACGTGCATAAAACAAGATTCGTTGCACCTCGTAATGCGCAATTGGTTGTTGCGTAGCAGCATCATATAAACTGTATTAGATAAAGCAATGACACATAATGCAATTATAAAAAAGTAACACGCGAAGATAATTTTCTTTAATTATACGTACACAACGGAACCTTGAGAACTACTGGGCACAGAAACAGATACTTTAATTCCTAAATTAAGAGACTGTTCTGCATTTAGTATATTCATGTTGCGTTGTATTTCACACTCCGACTTTGGTGCGTTTATTGTTGCTGACCCCAAGTAAGTCACACCATTGAAAATAGTACATTCTTGTTGGACGTGAGCTAAACAATTTAAAAATATAATGTAAATAACGTTTCGTGTCTCTGCCATTTGATGTTTGACAGTTAGCATTTAAAGATAAAAGATAGCGGTAATCTATACCTTCGTCGATAAAATCTTCTGGTTTCATAATGTCTTGTTTCTCCGAAGCAACCATGCAAGAGCTTACATTGTAAAATGTACTGTGTCCTACTTTTTTTGTCTTTGGTGGATTTTGTTGTACGGTGCTTACAATTTTATAATCGTTACTTTCCATTTTTGAGTCTTCTGATAACACCTACAATTTTGATCAATTATTCAAACAGTTATCAATTTTCATTTAGTGATAAACATAACAAAGATAAAAACTTCTACAGTCACAAATATAAATAATGCATACAAACCTCGCGTAGATTATTTTGGAGATCTTCCAGATTACCGTTATTAGCAATCTTCAACATTGGTAGTTCAAGTACAGCTTGTTGCTGTTTCCCATTGCCTCTGTCATTTACAAACTCATATTCGTCGCTTGTCGCCACTGATTCCATTGACTTAACACTCATACTATCCTCCATAACTATGTCTAAAATATACAGCATAAAATTATTCTGTCATAATAAGTATTAGTAAATTATAACATTTACAAGTGCCATTTATAGATTATACACATACATATGGAACTTCATGTATACCTCGGATACAACAAACATATTGTAACACAAATTAAATACCAGAACATTACTGTTACGTGGAATTATACAAAATGAATATAATGATAACACTAATTGCACTCTGTGTACACATGAAAGACATACATTTGCATTCTATTTATGGAATAGCACCGAATAGAAGTAGGAATATGTTTCCCACGAGTGATTGCACTCTATATCCTATATCTGTCAAGTATAATTTAATAGTTTATTTATAGTAGCCTGGGAGTACCATTTGAGCAACGAATTCGATGCAAAATAACGGAGGAGAATTTCAACGTCCGATGGAATTCCCTAAATGACCAAGTGTCGACTTTATCAGCACGAATTCGTCGAAGCACGAGGAAAATGATTCACTATCACGGAATCGAAATGCAAAGCAAGCTTCGCGCGTACCAAAGTTTGACACATCATTGAAAGCCACACTAACTCGAATTCATAACGTTCGAATCGTCAGTCGTGCGTTTCGGTTGATCATCTGAAATGCATTCTCGAACGGATCGAGAATTCAGTATCCTGCCTCTGGTTTTCCTTCTCGTTACGCTTTCTTTCTTTTTGTTTTTTCTTTTTTTTTTCTTTCCTCACTATTAATCGCACCCCCAGCAAAGACCAGGGATTACCCTTTCGTTGAATCAAAAATTTGCTGGGACACCGGTGCCTCTTCTCGCGTTGTCGTTCATTAAAGCCACAAAACACACCCGATCCCTCGATCCTCGCATCGGTTCCGACGTTCGTACGTTTCTCTATTGAACAACACCGTGAACGTTTACATGATTTCACTCGTAGAGGCGATCTCGTTTGACAGAAAAGACAACCTTGGCGTCGGCCATTCGTGCACTAAGGTCCCGGAAGTCTGCTTCGCTACGACAAATTGCGGACGAACCGCCTCCGAGCGCGCAACAACTTCGAATCAGCTCTAACAATTTATCATCTTGTCGAGCAAATATTATGTCTTGCATTAGTAGTTACAGCTTAGCAAGTAAACGGAAGTGAGAAATATTTCGAGTTTGTAGAGGTTTCTTCTTATCGCGGTTCTAACTAATGGAAACTTGGTAATAAATTGCAATTCGCGGAAGCATCTTAACAAAATCGAGTGCAGGTATCGTACTGGAAGTATTTTCAACTGCAAACGTATTTCAAGTAGTATCGAACCTTAGTGGAATAAAATACAAAAGCTATACGGTTCCTTCGAAAAGTAGTGCTTGTAAATTAAATTGGGGCTGAAAGAATGTTTTCGAATTGTATTAAAATACAAAAATATTATAGTATAATTGCAACTTTTATGTGTATTGCTTGAGTATGATGTGTTTGGAAAGATTTTGACATTTCTTTCACGATTGATAATTATAGATTACGAAACTAAATTGAGATCTGCCAAGTATATCGACATCTGAGATATAATCTCATCAATACAGAATTTTCTTGACATTTCTTGAATCTAATTTATATTTATTTCGTATGTTTTCTTTTTAAACATCTATTGCATAACATTTTGAAGAAATGAAACCCGAGTACATTTCGTTCAGAGAGATGAAAACATAAACAATATCATATGACTTCCAATATGAGCGACGCAATGGGCTGCTGTGCCTTGAATAGAAGCAGATTCCCAAAAATATTAAATAAGCATTCAATGCTTGTTCGATTTCTCATTCGAAGTCAATTCAAATACAACAAAAGCTACAAAAAAACAACTCAAAAATGCAATTTTTAAAGAGTAAAGAACAAGGAGCATAACGCAAGAATAAGTTGAACCGAGAAAGGAATCAAGTATGTATGAAGTCCCTATTGATCAAATATCAAGTTTGAATGTCGATATTCAAAATATATTTATTGACCGATCACGAGTCGAATCAACAATACGCTCCTGACCAGAGACATAGCGGACCAATGAGATTCCGTTTCAAGTCACGTGAATTTATTTACAGAGTTAATTTTCAAGTGGTTACCGTATACATAAAGGCGATAGTCGCTCCAAACTTTCTTCTGGCGACGCAACGTCGACCAATCAAGAGTCGTATCTCGTTCCCGGTGACTTAACCCAGAGCCAATAGGATCGTCGTTTGTAGGAAGCTTGGGCAGAGTTAGCGACAGATGGCGCGGCGACGCTGCACAGCAAGCTTCAGTCGAGACGCGTCAGTTCACAGACGACCTCCGTTCCGTCGAATGTGAGCGGAAGTTTTATTTGACTGTACAAAATTTTCGAGTTCTCGCATCGGGCAACTCGCCGTCAAAATTGGTGTTTCCCGAAGGTCGAACTGGTGATCATGAAAAGTGTGAGAATGTCCGAGATCGGCTAGCATCGGCGGGAAATCGAGGAACAAGTGGAAAAACGAGTGAGTACTATTCGGCCAGAGTTCACGGCTTTTTTTCCCTTTGCTTCTTTTTTCGGAAGCAGGCGTCGCGTGTCGTCATTGATAATATCGTGAACGTATCCGTGATCTCGTCACGATCGGGAATCATCTCTCCTTTCATCCGAGATCTGACAGATTCGGTGGACAGACTCGCTAGTTCGAAACGTCAACGTAGAGACGAGAGGAGAGGTTATAAAGTCAAGGCGGAAATTGTCCTGCACCTGCCATCATGAGACGATAGTTTTGTATATCTGGCGAGCATCGAATCGCTGCCTCTCGAATCGTTCCTCGTCTCTCCGTGTGTTCCGTGTTCACGGGAGTGTGTTTCGAAAACCGTGCAACCTTTCGATAAACGATATCGTGATGTTACGACGTGTTGCTTTGAGTTCTCCGTTTGCATATACCTTTAGAAAGCACAAAAAAAAAAGAAAATAGCGGGTATCTAGGTACATTGGCAACCAATATGCGATACAGCGATCGTTGCATTTCGTTTGTCGTTGATGAAGGTTAGTTAATTCGGCGAGAAGCTGTTGCAGCGAGTGTCGTTGCGGAATTTTTATCGACGAGTCCGAAAATTGGTGTCCTCGAATCTGTCATAGCAATGGACGGTGCCGATGAAAACGATATATCGCGAGTATATCCTCGCGTAATTTTATTTTCGACGATGTTCAATGTCAATTCGAAAATGTCATTGCGATTATTCACGCGTCATTTCTAGCAGACCACGTTCCTTCTTAGCCTAGGCCCGAAATAAATAACGCACAATTTACGAACGCTGCAAATGATAGGTGTTTCGCGGTTTATCGTACTCGTTCAGAGGTTATTTTCGCTAACGTTAAGTTGCGAGTACCGCGATCCCTAGCTTGACTATTGCAGTTTTAATTGCATCGTGTTTGGCAATAAATGGTAACTTATCAATTACGACTGTTTTGGTGTTGGCAGGCTTCACTCCGTGCGGCGTATATCGCCGTTTTAATATCCTGACAGTCATTTTCATTCTATATATTGATAACTTTTTGCGATACGGTTTTATATTATTACTATAACCTTTGTATGTATTTGACATTTCACAAAGCATGCACAGAGTGTTTATCGTAGCAATATCAACAATTTTTTAGCAATTTACACAGTAAATCTCGAGTAAGAAAAGTTGTAGATCAAATGAATTAACTTCTAATCTCCGATAGGTTGCCGGAGTGATTGTAAATATTTATTTTTCGCTACAAAAGTCAAGGTCGTCTTGTTTCAAATTGTACTAGTGTTAGATTCGCGAAAACCTGTACTTCGTTTCGGCTCGTTCGTATGTTAGAATCATTTTCTGGTTGTTTCACGTATTGTATAAACGGCGTGCAACGCAGACACGTGCCAGGCTTGTCGAAATTTTAGCAAACTAGTAAACAAAGGTGACCGATGTAAGTAATAACGTTAAATCAAACTTTTCTGAATGCTCGAGTATTTCTTTGATCTTATCGAATCTGACTCATCGATAAACGAAGGTTTCTATTATCTCGAACGAAACAATCGAAACATTCGTCATTCGAACATTCGTAGAAAATCATTCTATAAAAAGAGATAATAAGAGATTACAGGAAGGAAGACGTGTATCCTTTTCGCACTGTCTCGCTACCGTATGCTCTTATCTTATCAGTTCTACATGGTACATCCCAGTTCACCTGTCGAGTATAAATACTCGAAACGTTACTTACGTTTGCCAATCTAACTACGCTTTTAAGGAGAGAAAAATTGTTCACGTTTTCCAGCGCGCTCGAGGTTGTTCGTTTTTGTTTGCGCTTTGGCCTAATTTCGGTGGATAACGTTGATTTTCGTCCTGGTAAACAGTGTACTCTAGTTCCGCGCACATCGAATATTGAAAATCGCGGAGGTCGGGAAACGGCGAAATTTTATTCGAACAAGTGACAGAGATTATCGTTGTCTATCCTTTTCAGGTATCATTTTGAATTTTTTTTCTTAAGAGTTATTGCACACGTGTCTATTAATATTTTGAAAGTTTCGATGGTTCGATGTTGCAATCGAGCCTCGAAATTTTGCAGAATTTTTCTTTTCGTGTATTCGCAAGATATTTAGGGGGCGCGTAGGATAGATTTAAAAAATCATTGAAACGAGGCCACCCTATTATGCGCGAACTGCATGCACACGATGTGCATGGCGCGTAGTAGACGCATGCATTCTGTGTTAGCGATGGGACGATTCATGAAAGAGTGGTCGAGGGCTGTTAATAATTCGTTCACCGAGTGCAACGAGCTCCTAGAGCCACCGTGCTCGCGCCGATGACTATGGTCACCTACTTTACGCTTCGAAACGCAACACCAGGAAGAGCGCATTCATTTTCGTCCCGCTCACATTTCCAACCGCAATTAGCGTTTCCAAAACAATTGACGTTTGCGCCGCGTCGGCTCCCGTCCGTCGCGTTCCATCCCTAACGCAAGTCTCGGAGTCGTGTTTCACGGAAACGTATGAAAAACACCGCACTCTCATCGGTATGAGACTGGTTTTCCTTCGATCGAGATAATCGTCGATTGCCAACTCTTCGGATGTAAAATCAAAGTTACGTCGGTTACCAAAGAAACCGCGGAAAGAAACTCTTCTCGATGCGAACTCGATACCACCATCTGTTGGAAAGGCTTGCCAGATGCGACTAGAAACAGTATACGACGCTTTTTATACGTTTCCCATGAAAGTTTCCAGACCCGTGGGCCTCGTGGACTATATTGCGGATAGCAGAGAGTAAAATTGAACCGACAGAAGTATCCAATTTTTTGTATGAAACGTTCCGTTGCAGTTTATTCGTCCACACTTCTTTCAAAATCGTCAAAATTCGGTTCGATTCCTTGCAGATCGATACTTCCTTTTCATATTTGAAAACTCGTATCGAGTTTTCGGTAAGTTTTGACCCGTGAATGGTCCAAGTTTCAAATTTGTTATCGGAGTTTTGAATCGAATTGTAATCGGTTTGTTTTTAATATTTGGCTGTGTGTATGCCACCGTTATGTAATGTTGTTTTTGAACAAAAGTTAAAAAAAAAAAGTTCGAATAATAAATACATCGATATCTTTTTAAATTTAATTTGGAAAATCAGGCTTCCGAGGGTTAAGTAAGAAAACGTATGCTCGTCGCAAAAATTTTCTAGAAAAACACCACGGTCACATCGATGCAATCTCGGTCTTCGCGCCGTCGTTTAAATACATAAACACGCGTTACGCGGAAAGGTCGGTCGCCGGCAGTTTTTGTTGTTGAAACGCCTCTTTAATTTGCAGCTCTCGGACGGCGAGGATGGCGTGCAAAAGTAATTGCTGTTTTTGATCGTCGGGGACAGAGAGAGAGGATCGCGGAAGGCGCACACGTCCGTGCTGCGAGAGACGAACGATGTCGGCGAAGCTTCGAGCGAGATCTGCTCTGCGGGCTTCAAGCGTTCAACTTCGCAGCACGAGAAGAACGATCGTCTCGTAAGACAGAGATACGAAGGAAGTCGTCTTAAAATCATTGCTGGAGAAACCAAGATATAGAAACAAATTAAGAAACCTGGGGAAGTCTTAGCACTTGCCTTGCGAAGAAGTATTTTGATAAAATAGTGGACGATTCGCTGCAAGAGTTCGACGACCGAATCGGACGCGATCGTTGGGTATCGTATCGTCGTCGATAATCGCACTCGACGGCTAATCTTCGTTGTTCGACGCGTGCTTGTCGCGCTCTACGTGCCCGAGGAGCTCGAGGATTCGCGATCGAAGCTGGAGCTGAACCGTGGAATCGCGAGTCCTTTTATTCCTGCGTCGAAGTTAGCTTAGTGCACCGAGCGTGTGAAACGCGATCAAAGTGAAGTGTCCCGGTCTCGGTGAGATGGCCTTCATGATGAAGAAGAAGAAGTACAAATTCTCGGTGGAGGTGGACCTGGAGGAGCTCACCGCGGTGGCGTTCGTCAACGCGGTGCTGTTCGCCAAGCTGCGACTCCTCGACGGCGGATCCTTCGTGGACCAGTCGACGAGGTAAACGATAAATTCAATCAAGTTTCCGTCTTTTGGACGAACTAGTAATATTTCATACAAAGGGATGCTATTAAGGACGATATTAAGGGGGCACTCTTTTTATTTTCTTGTGGGTAAAGTATTCGAGATACAATTTTGAAATTTGCTACGTTTGTTTGTACATGTATGGACAAGATTCTCAAAATTTTTCAATCGTCCAGTTCATTTTGTTTACACGTTAAGTTAACTTCGAGACTATCGTGACAATTTACAGGATTTTCTTGTGTACCCTCTTGAACAACGAGCCACGATAACAGAAAGTGTACGATTAAATACAATAATACAGATTACAAGTCTGTACCAAATAAATCACGATAGTGATAAGAACGAGTAACGAGGTTTCGCTGTTAATAAAAACGACGGACGCGAGAGAGTTTATTTAGCTCGGTGAATTTTTTTTTTTTTTTCTTTTTAATTCGTAATAACGGCGATGGCGTGTTTATACGAGTGTACGGCTCGTTAATGTTACCTTTTTAACCGTGCCAACGCTTTGATGGATACAGAACGCTCGTTTTCGTGAGAACGAAAGTTTCCCCGAGCATTCCACAATGGTTCTTTACATTTCTGCAATTAATTCGTTTAATTTTTAGAAAGTTGGTTTCTTTATCCGCTTGGGGCGCTCGAGCGTCCTTGCGCGGAAACATTTTCTTCGCGCCAATTTTTTCTTTTTCCCCGCAACAAGTTGTTTTTCTCTGCGTTTAACGCGCGACGACGATCAGAATTACGAACCGTTCTCGACGATTAAATAGTTAACGTAACGCGAACGAAAATCGGTAGCGTGTAAATTCGTGTACGGATCGATCACTCTCAGACGAGCCAAGAAGGGCACAAAGGTGTCGATAAATTTCTAACAGGCGTACCTGTAGATACGCTTTGGCACCTGGTCAGGTGCTGCAAAGCAACAGTTGGCTAATCGTTCGATTGTTCGATGACACGCTGTTTTTTCCACGTGTACTGCGCAGAACAATGCCATCCGTTTCTGATAATTTTATACGCAGAACCGTTCGAACAATCGATCTATTTACCCGCAGGCATACAATTTCGATTTAAAGGAAAAACACGATCTACTTGGAATCGGAAAATACCGGCGAAGAAGAGAAATTTTACTTTTTAAAAAGAGACGCACAAAATATTAGATCAGTATTAATTTATCGTGATAAATATGCTCCTCTATATCTAAATATAATTATATTATATGTTACATGATTATATGAATTATATTTAGATAACAGATATTAAATGATATATATTCATATAATTTAATCACTATAATAGATCACACGGTTCTAGAATCGCCCCGAAACCGTACGATCCCCCTTAGCACATTTTGCTCCAACTGCAAATAGTTGAATCTATCCAACATAAATTTAATCACAATTTTTTTTTTTTTTTTTTTTGATTGCATCGTGTATAATATCGTTCACACAGAAGTCAAAAGTGTAATCGACGATTCGAACGTGGTAATTTCGTTCTATCTCTCGTCCATCGTCGGTCGATATCCGGCGACGATGTTTCACGAGGTTCGAGGACTCCGTATCTGTGTACACGCATATATTAACATCGAACCGCTGTTACGTGGATCGTGCTTCCTTCAACGAGCGTAATATAACGTGCCCGCACGTGTACGAGTTGCACGCGACGTAAATTCCGACCGCGGATCGTAAAACATTTCGATTGTGGCGGGTTCGAGCGGACGTGTCTCGGTTAAAGCAGATAGCGTTTTACTTTTTATTTATTCATTTCCACCGGATAGCCCTGGAGAACTATACCATTGTACTCTATACCGCAATCAATAATACATACGCGAGAGTTCACTGACTCGATAAAAGTGTCTCGAGCGTTCTAGTCGCTAGTCACTCTTCAAAACCTTAATAAGGTTCCTAACGACTCTATGTAGGCACCGTTGTGTCGAGGAATTTGGGTTTCCACGTTTCCGATATACCTCCGTGATCTTCGTACAGAATTATTATTTATAGAATTATCGACGCTAACACGGAGAGCACAAGGCTTTAATCTTTCATACTAAGAAATTTTAGCTTTCTGTTTACCAAAAACGTAGTATTGTAAGCGTAGAAAATACGGTTAGGGTTCGATTTCTTGCGGATGAATATATGGACGATATATCTCGCTCAAATTAATTCGATTTAACGTTCGAAAACCCGTATTGAATTTTCCAATGAATTTGAAGAAATAGTTGATTAGAATAGCAGGAATTTCCCCATTTCAAGTTCGAAGTTTCCTCTCGGATAACAACGTTACTCGTCTCAGCTTCACTGTTGGCAGACGGCAAACGTTTCCGCGTGTTCCTTAGGCGTCAAGAATCATTAATGACTGTACCAGCGAAAATTAGCACAGTCTATGTTCGAGGAGACGTCGCGAGAAACCAAGGGGGTGAAGTTTCCCTCAACTCCGGTTCTCGAACTTTGGACCGTTTCGGTTTATCAGTAATCCCTTGGCACGGAATTAAATCCACGCGAAACGATGGTTCCGCGGAAAGAAGGAAATCGACGAGGAAAATGAGTCACGTTCGCGGTATATTGTTCTCTCGTAAAAGTGTTCGGGACAGTCATCCTCGTCATCTTCGTCGTTTGTAGGGAAATACCCGGAAGCCTTCTGGACCTCTGCCAGAACAAATGGGCACGGAGAGCCAGCAGCTCCGTTCATTTTATTATTTCGCCAAACTTGACGATTTATCGCGCCTTGAGTTGTATAACAATGTTTAAACCCTCGTTGTCCTATGGAGAACGTGTCAACTGTAACCGTAAACTGATAGAAATCAACGGATATGGGTTGTTTGCTATGTAGATACCGTGTTCTCTAAGTGTCGTCTCTCATCGAAACGTTACCAAGCGAAACTAAACAATTTACCATACCGTAAGTTGTAAAACTATCGTTAGATTCCTCTTGCGACATTCGGTCGAATCATTCCTGCCGCGAATGTAAACCAGGGTTAAAGTTGTTCCTTACCTTCGGAGTATCTCGTAATAAGATGGTCGACGGTTTCAAGTTTTATTGGATCCGCGGTCAGAAAGTCTCTGCAACTTTGATTGGTCGTACGAAATTTTGATCTCGGCGAGAATTTGACCCGATCTCTGGCCCCTGGAACGTATCACGAGAGTTTCCCTCGTCGACCTTTGAGAGGGCTTTCGATGGCGGGTTGAAAACTGAGCAACTGGGTTACAGGGAAACAAGGTCGGGATATTGGAGTCGCGAGAGGACAATCGGATCACGGTGATTGCCTCGGTGTATTAAAATGAAAGAACATGATAGAAAGAAACGAGAATGGGCCTATGGAGTATTACGCAACGTCTCTTTTTTCGCGAATCGAACGACCCGAAACTCTTGTTTTCGTTTACCAGCGCCTCCGTTCTATGTAATCGTTGTTTCGTAAGCCGAGGCAGACGGTTCGTGTCCGAACGAACAATTACCACCCCATTCTGCGCGTTGGATAATGGACGAAATAACGGTCGTTATTATTATTTATTATGTAATCTCGGCGGACTAAAGCGCGGCTCTGGGCGTTAATACTCATTCTGGTTTCGTTATATAAAATCCTATATTAATTAGCAGAGTGCGGATTTGATGAATTTGTTACGAACAACAGTGCAGAATATACTCTACGTTATATATAAAATCCGATTCCAACCACTATTCTTTCAAATTCAATTCGTTTCCGACTGATTTAGTAAATCGTGTTTCAATGGGCTGGTAACGGCAGGTCCGTTCCTACGACTATGAATGGTTTTCTACACCGTTTCACGCTCGTGAAAACGTTGCGCGCGTAAAGTCATCCGGGAGAAACACGATTCGTTTGGATCTATGTCAGCGAGAACGATATAAGTTTCTACGAGATTTCTCTTGACGCGCGTGCCCTTGTTGAGTTCACGGTGGCTCCGGCCAGAGATTTTTGTCGATAATCACCGAACGCACGGTTTTATGTAAAAATAAAACGAAGAGTGTACCACGGGATACGCGATACAATTGTACACCGAGTGTGAAGAGGCTGTGGCAGTTTCGAAAAGTACTAACGCGAGGGGATTTCGTCGCCGAGCGTAACAACGCTTGGTTCTCCCCCGGTTCTCGTCGAATTTGCATACCAATCTGGCTTGGTAATCTTCAGGCACGCTGACGGGTTCTCGTGACGACACGCGCTGTATTTCGAATCCCTTATTCGACGTTTCACCGATTCCGCGTAAGGTCATGGTTCAAGGCGGAACAGTTGCCAGGAAACCGACGCTCTGACGTTAAATCGAACCGCTTATCCGGAGATGCGATCGGAGTTGGACTGGGCGAAGCTCCCTCGGAGAATAAATCGAACCCCCTGTTCGCCTTTTAATTCATTTATCGCGCTGTATTTCCCTGAACGATGATCTCGCGGTTGCCTCGATAAACCAGTTTCATAATCACGCGTGCGTAATTAAAAGCCCCTATAACGAGCACCGGTGAACGAGTACTTCCATTTAGAACATAAAGCAACACTTCGATCTAGGATTTTCGGTCGCGTGGAATAAGCCCGGCGACGCGACGAGAAAGAAGAAAGTTCTCCTAAACGCAGGGGGTAGTGGGAAAGCAGGGAAACGTGGATTTTTTTGGCGAAAGGAGGACGCGGTACGTTGAACGAGCACGCGCAGGAAGCGTCGAATTAGAAATCGACCGCGTCTCCGGTCATTTTCTCGATTTGTCGTCGATTGTTCCGATCGGGATGATACGAGCACGGTTGAAAGTTCCCGTCGACGCGAAGAAAAGCGACAGTGGGAAGCATCGTCGAGAGAGAAACGCGATTCTCTTGGCAGTGATGCTTAGAAAGTACCTAGATTCTCGTCCTGATTCACGGAGCCGCGAAAATCGCGATGCCGGAGAGGGCAAGTGTTCCTAGTCGATGATATACTGGATGAATTGTAATTAAATTCTAGTCATTCAAACAGATGCAATCTCGAAGAAGAACCTACAGTGTCCCGAAG